TTATAAAGCCTACTGTACATACCTGTTTTATATTTGTTTTAGTGTCCAAGCAGACACTATTTTACATGTATCTTATGGAACACATTGGAGGCATAAATGGATAAAGGAAAATAGGTGTGACCAAATCAACACATCAGCATCCCCAGATACCACGATTCTTCAACCCCATGCATATATCTTCATTGGGTGAAGTTCTCCAAATGTTTTCTCTACTTAACTCACTTTCTCTACTTTTAACTTAAAATTAGAAATGGTCCAGAAGACACCTGTGCATAAAAAGCATATGTTGGAGGTGCATAAAAAGCATCTGTTGGACCTGTGTAGTTCTTGGGATGCAAACTATCTATATTCTGATGGCAGAAATGATCTTTTACCCTCTTAAAAAGGAAGATTTTGTTTTTAATTTGCTGGAGCTTGACTTCAACATTTCCACATCAACTCGGGTTGCTAAAGCATGTTTCATTCATGAATAATACCATGTTTGCCAATTGGAGGTTTTATTTTCCATAGTATTATTCTTTCCTATGTGATTTGTGAACATAAATTATGTTGACTTGGCCATTTATCTGTCCAAATACATTTTTAAATAACAATTCTTTCACTGCTATCTGCACATTATCAATCTCACTGATGAATTATTTCTCTGCTTCTCTTCATCTCTGTGGATTCAGCAAAGTTGGTCACAATTTGAAAATTTATGGTTGTTTGCAAAAGAGGAGAGCCAGAGTAATGGGGGAATAGGAGCACCTATGTATAAGATTCAACATATTTTTCAGTTTAAGCCAAAAGGAGACATAGAAAATTCATTGGGAGAATATGAATTAAGAAGTTGGGAACAGGGGAAGGGTAGGCCTGTAACTATCTAAAGCACAGTAGCTTCAAGTTCTAAAACTGGAATTGTTTACAAATATCAGCTGGTTAATTCCTTCATATCCTCATTTATACACCCAACATGATTAGGAAATTAGCCCTTTAAATTAAGATTCTTAACAATTTAAATTTTGGATAGTGGTGTTATTTTGCTTTTTTTCTCATTCCATATCTCTCAGTTCCACTACACAATTTTTAACCAAAAGGCTTTAGATTTATTTTTATATTAAAGCTTTTAAGCTCTGCTATTCCAAATAGCAGACTGAACTAGCAGACATTTCCAGTGTGTATTTGGTGGTCTCTTTGTTGTGATTTAAGACAGAGCCATGTCCTCTTAGGTCTCAAATACAATTATAAAATTCTGGTTTCACTAAAATATCCTTGACTTTTGGGCTAGATTCTGGTTTAGTCCAATTTGTGTCATGATATCTATTTTATATTTGAGCCAAAGATTTGGTGGCTTTGGTGGCCTTAAAGCAATATAATTAGTTAGCATATTCTAAACATATTATAATACAAATCTGAACAACTATGTAAGTGTGCACATAAAATGTGCATTTCTAATTCTTGCTCATCTTGGAGTAGTTCTATCTTTGTAATCCCTAAATATAGATACTGAATTGATGCCACGTAATCATCACTAATTTCTTATCGGTTTGTATACAAGTGATCCCCATTTATTGTTCAGCAACAATTCAGCTTACAATGCTGCTAAATGAGTGGTACCAGCTATTGAAGTGCTCCTGTAGTCATGTGATCACAATTTGGACATTCAGCAATTAGTCCAGATTTCTGACCTTTACAGTATCCAATGGTCACGTGATCATATCAGGTGACCTTCTCTGACAACTTCCTGCAAGCAAAATCAATGAGGAAGCTAATGAGAAGTTGGAAGTCATGATCACATGAGGTCCTCACATAATAACTCCTATGGTTTTCACTTAATGATGGAAGCTGCTGGAACTGCCATTGCTAAGAAGCACGTCATGTGATATTGTACTATACAGTGGGACCTTGGGTCACGGATGCTCCTGTTCGCAACCAAATCCACCTGATTTTTGAATCGGGTCATGATTCACAAATCGGGTAGTGAACAAAATCAGCACAGAAAGATTCCCTTTCCACACTGATTTCCCCTTCGGCACCATTTTTTTAGTGCGCGCATGCGCAGTCAGTTGTGCTTCCAGTCCCGACCCAAAGCTCCACTGTTCAACCATATCCCTTAGCAATAAAAAATTCCAGTCCCAGTTACCATCATTAAGCAAGAACCAACTTGAAAGAGTCCCTATTTCATTTTATGCAGAATTTCTCACTTTTGTAATATACAAAGCAGGTTTCTAACATGTGCCTGATGCTATGAGACCATATTACGAACAACGTGTCTATTGAATTACGAGCAATGTAATGCTAGCATTGCTGAGAGGGAACATTTGGGGAATTATTATCAGGGTATACAGATTGTAATTTTTTTTTTCCTGCCTCCCAGTTCAATTCAGACAGAAAAGAGTATTAACTACAGATCAAATTACCCCAGAAAGGAAGCTAACATAGGATATATGCAACTGTGCCATTTCGATTAATGACAGACTAGCCTCATCTCTGTTCCCCAATGGAACCCTTGTTTTTGTTTACTGCCTCTTCCTATTTAAAGAGCTGCACAGGAATGTCTCCTAGGAGAAAAGGGGATGTTTTTTCCAAGTTTTTCCTTCAGAATACAAGAGAATACAACACTCTAATCCCTGGCCCTGCAGCCCTAGTGTTTTGAGAGCTGGCATCCAACCACATCCGGAGGGGGCAAGAGGTTCCCCTACTCTTGACCTAGATTAGCGTTTAAATTATTCCCAAACAAAAATAAAAGACAAGGGGATCAAAACTGGTTTTTTTTTTTTTTTTTGTCTAGAAAAGTTGCGGGTTTAAATCATTTAAAACTACCCCTCCTCCCCCCACCAAAACTTCACGAGAACAATAAAAAGTAGCATTTCTTCTCATCTATATGATATTTCTTATCAAAGAGCACTCTGATCGTTCCATTTAAGATCTTTTCCAGCAACAGCTTTGTTTAGCATAGTCGTCTCATTTGCAAAGAAACGTAGATAACCAAAATGTTATTAAGAGGTCTGTGACCAATAAACAAGAAGTCACAAGGCTTCTAATTTATTGCCATGTGCTGGGTTTATCTTCTTTTTCTTTGATTTGATTTTGGGATTTATTTATTTTTTTGCTGTGTTGGCTAAAAAGTGCTACTTAGATTACTTTTTTTTTTCTCCTGCTGACTCAGCATTGCTGTTGAAAAGGACCTAGGTTAATCCATCATTTTCTTTTCTTGGAAATAAATATTCTTGTGGCAACATTGTCTAGAAAGAGTACAGAAAGTCTGAGAATGATTTAGCTTAAAGGTGAAGCCAAGATAGATCCTTTTATCGAAGGGGTGGGATATTTATACTAGAAGATGCTAAGATTGGGATCTTCAGTAGTCCGCAAATACAGACCTCTAGCCCTTTCTGATAACATAAAGATCAAAATTTACAATAGACTTTAATTCAAATCCTCTGTTGGCTTCTCGAGTCATTAGGGCAGTGGGCTTATTATTTATTTATTTTAGCAATGCATTTCGTTCTTAGGAAAGAAAGTTCAAACATGCCACAATTTCGATAAGATCGCAACATTGATTCACACCACATTGTGCAGAATACAGATGGGATGATTTTGTGATCCTATTTTCAGAAAAAGCCAAAGTTTCTTTTGAAGTCTATGCACTTTGCAGAAAAAAGTCAGGACAGATATTTCAAATTAGAACTGGGCTGGCTTCTGCCTAAAATTTTGGAGGGCTCAGGCTTTTTGAGCCTCAGAACAATGGCCTGATTCAGCGTAAGGCACTGCGGTGTGTTCATGCACTGGAAAACCTTTTCAGGTTAACATGTTTAGATTTTTTTTGCAACTGTTGGCAATAATGTATGGCAAATATTCAAGCTCTGCTCTTATGAAAAGTTCTATCTCTTGGCAAGTTTAAGGGATCAGTGCAACACCTCCATTCTTTGGGCCTGATATTTCTAAAGAAAGCAACATTACTTGAAACCTATTGTTGTACGCCACTCTGTGTGAGATGGATGGCTATATAATTTTGGTGTTCTCCAAGCTTGGTTGTTTTCTTGTAGAAGTTTCATTATCCAAACTAAGTAACATTAGCAGTGTTCACATTAGAGTAAACCAATAAACCCTCAAAACCATGCTAGCCATTTAAATCCTTGTGAAATCATTTAGACTCTACCGAGGAGACCCTACAACAGGGGTATCAAACTCAAGGCCTGGGAGCTGGATCCACTCCATGGGGTGCTTAGATCTGGCCTGCAGGGCTGTCCTAGAAACAGCAAAGGACCGGCCCATGGTGCATTCATTCCCCACCCCCGAGCTCCATTTTCACTGGCAGAGGGTGGCAGGAGGCTGTCACAACTAAAAATGGAGCTCTGGAGTCTGTTTTCTCTGACAGAGAGCTTGGGCCGCCACAGATGCCCCCGACAGGAGTGATGTCAAGCTGGTCAGGCCCACCCCGGGTCCCGAGGTCAAACACAACCCTGATGCAGCCCTTAATGAAATAGAGTTTGATACCCCTCCCCTACAGGATTATCATAGAGTTGCCTTTACTATTTTGAACATTCAAATGGAGAAAGTAAAAAAAAAAAACAATTAAAAGGAAAGCCCTTCTGGGTCTGGAATGATTGTTCCCTCTTTTTATCTCATTTTCATCTTTGCCATAACTGCTCCAAGAAAGTCTCTTGATTGGCAGATCCGTTTTTGCAGAACATGCTTCTGCAAATATTTTGAGGTAGCACAATTAACATTCTGGGTGACTCTGTTCTAAAAAAAAGAAGAAGAAGAAGAAGAAGCAAAGATCAATTAGCCAGGGAACTCTTCCAGAAGGTTACTAAATTCTAAGGAAAAGAAGTCTCTCCATCCCAGATCTGGAAACTGTTTATCCACAATGGTGCCCTTCCTTGGATGATTGCTAATCATGTACACTTTCCTTTACAGAGGTGGTATTCAGCAGGTTCTGACCAGAGTAGTTTGGAGAACTGGCAAATACCACCTCTGATTGGACCCGCCCCATCTATTCTCTGCTTCCTGAGTCCCAGCTGATTGGCTGGGTCTTCTTTTGTTGCCCTGCACAGGAGAACAGAGCTGGAAATCAGGTTTGTTGGGTGGGGTGGGAATGGAGATTTTACAGTATCCTTCCCCTGGAGTGGGGTGGGAATGGAGATTTTAAAGTATCCTTCCCCTGGAGTGGGGTGGGAATGGAGATTTTAAAGTATCCTTCCCCTGGAGTGGGGTGGGAATGGAGATTTTACAGTATCCTTCCCCAGTCACACCCACCAAACCATGCCCACCAAGCCACGCTCACAGAATCAGTAGTAAAAAAAAAAATGAATCCCACCATTGTACTGATTTCTTCTTAATTATCTGAAACTTTATTCCTTCTTTGTCAGTCTTTCTCTTTTTAATGTGACACTATCAAAGGAAGCAGGACAGTTATATGCAATTCATGACTTAGTCTTGAAACGGTAGTAGTGTTGGTCATAACAAAGCAAACTTATAGTATTTATACAAAATAATCAAGTGAGCCTAGTCAGAACTCTAAGAATACAGCTATAAACCTGACAGTACTACTAGGTGGAAAAAAAATATTTTCATTTAAAATTTAATAACTTCAAGCTGGTCATAGCTTTGCTGCATGGAATTCCCTAGCTGGAGCTGTTATAGAAAATTGACACCACTATCTGACTATCTCTACAGCACTGCATACATATAATGCCCGGTAAGACCACACTTGAAGTATTGCATCCAGTTTTGGTCACTACAATATTAAAAAAAAATGTTGAAACTCTAGAAAGAATGCAGAGAAAATCAACAAAGATTATTAGGGGAGTGGAGGTTAAAACATATGAAGAACGGTTGCAGGAAATGGGTATGTCTAGTTTAAATGAAAAGACAGACTAGGGGTGACATGATAGCAGTGTCCCAATATCTCAGGGGCTGCCGCAAAGAAGAGGGAGTCAAGCTATTCTCCAAAGCACCAGAGGGCAGGACAAGAAGCAATGGGTGGAAACTCATCAAGGACAGAAGCAAATTAGAACTAAGGAGAAGTTTCCTGATAGAACAATTAATTCCTGGAATTGCTTGCCTTCAGAAATTGTGGGTGCTCCAACACTGGAGATTTTTAAGAAGAGATTGGACAATTATTCATCTGAAATGATATAAGATTTTCCACTTGAGCAAGGGGTTGGACTAGAAAGTCCCTTCCAACCCTGTTATTCTGTTATTCCTCCTGTCAGTTTCAAAGTATTATAGTGAATGCCTGGTCTTTTCAGTACATTGGGAATTTAAGTTTTAATAATCTGTTCAGTGTGTTTAGTTCATGAACACATCTTGTAGGAGCAGAGGAATCTTTGAAATTGGGTTCAAACATTGACTCAAACAAAATATATGGAAGTAACCCCCCCCCCCCCCCCATCCTCATTTAAAACCATATGATGCTGTGAAACCTACGGATTACTTCTCAGTTTTTCTTGAGAGTATATCCCACTAAACTGAACAGGGCTAAGTTTTAATCAGGCTAGCTGGGATATTTCCTTTATTACTTAGGGAAACCTTTTGGTATTTCTTCCCACCGGATCTGCTGTTCGAGGATCTGGCCTTGGAGAACAATTCTGGATGCAGCCTATTACCTAACTGATATAAATTACCAGGATGTAGAAGAATTCTGAATCCTTAAGAGGAAAAGGACTTTCCATGCCAGACAAAAGAAGGCCATTTCCCAGAGTAACACAATACTCTAATTGCAGTAAAAGCTCCAATAAAGTGATTCAGCACATTGAAGGTCTAGACGCATAGAAGTCCATTGTTAACATTTGGCCTTCTCACTCAGAGGAAGCTCACATCATTTCCTTTGCTGGTAGTGGAATTCCCCTCATTGTATACTCTGAGGAGATGCGTATTCTCCTCACTGGTTGTTAAAAAAATGTCCTTGTAATGGATCTGATAGTACCAACTAGCTAAGGCTTCCACTTCGTAATGATCATTATTTTTAAAATAATACATCCAGGGAAAAAAAAGTTACAATCAAGCCTTTTTTGCTACCCCCTCACTCTCAACCCTTGATCCTGTCATTTAAAAAAAAAAAAAAGTAAGAGAAATATGAAATTCTGTGATTTGCTTCCCTGCATTATTTGTTAAACAGAAAAAAACATATTCCACTCTCTCTATTCTCTCTATTCAGCCCAGGAAATGTGTTTTAACATATACATTAGGTCCTTCTGCAGAAAACATTAGTGCCTCAACAATCAACACTCAAACTTAACTTGCTGAGTTTTCCATACGGCTCTTAGAAGAAAGGAAGTAGAGAGTCTGAAATCTCTATTTAAAAGACCTTCCTATTTTTATGTATACAGTTTTTCTTAATTGATCACAGACACTTATTAATAGTCTATCTCAGGGGTCAGCAACCTGCTGCTCTGGAGTTGCATGTGGCTCTTTCATCCCTCTGCTGTGGCTCCCTATTGCCGGTTGGTTCCACAGTTGATAGGGTTTTGGTTAGGACAGGTAGAGGACAAAGGATGCCATGCTAGGAGGAGAATCTATGGTGGGGAAACTGCCATAGAGTCTGGTCAGCTTCAGAATTGAAAGGAAGACTCCCAATTAGGAACTTTGTGACTCTGAGTATTAAAGGTTGGTCTATCTCCTTACACATTTTGCTGATTTGTGACTATAGGAGGTCCTGGATCAAAAGCACCTTAAAGGGGACATCAACATAATCAACAATAAATGATATTTTGTATTCACCTTACCATTCCTGGACTTGCACCTTTAATTTTATGTGCCTAAAACACACACACAATTGTCTCTGCCATTATCAAGAGCATCTGGCTCTGTACCCAAGAGGGGACTGACTGAGAAGCAGAAGCAGTCAGGGGACACTTAGAATCATATAGCAATCGCAATAGCACTGAGACTTATATACTGCTTCGTAGTGCTTTACAGAGGTTTATAAATGTTGGCATATTGACCCCAATGATATGGGTTCTCGTTTTATCAGCCTCAGAAGGATGACTCAACCTTGAGTCCAGTTATTATTGAACTCCTGGCAGTGAGCTGAATTAGCCAGTATTACTACATTCTAACCAGTACTCTTTTTCTACAGTTGGAAGGGATGTTAGAACTCATGTTCTCCAATTCCCTGATTAATGCAGTAAGGGCTTGTTCATGAATAGACTTTCATTATTTATTTATTTAATTTATATTGCCGCCTCTTGCAATTGAATAGCCTATTGCCGCCTATCGACCATGGCAATTCAAGGCAGCTTACAAATATAAAACCACATTTAAAACAGTAAAACTAATAAAAGGAATAAAATAATCAAATAAATTAATAAAATAAAATAAAATCCACCCCCTCCACCCCGGCAACAGCACCTCGCACAAGCCAATTAATGGGCTCCATTCTGCTCTGGGTTCCCCAGGCCCGCTGGCAGAACCAGGTCTTCCACTCCTTCTGGAAGAGTGCTAGAGTGGGCGCCATTCTAATCTCTGGGAGAATGATGTTCCAGAGAGAGGGAGCCACCACAGAGAAGGTCCTTCTTCTGGGTCCCAACAGGTGTACCTCCCTAGGGGATGGGACTTGCAACATTCCCTACCTCCGCACTCTGATAGGTCAGGTAGATGTGATGCCAAGAGACAGTTCCTGATCAGTTCCTGATAAGTTTACAGGTGGACCATCTATGGTAGCCAAACAGCATTGTTCCACTGTTCATTGTTCTTGCTGCCCTTTGAGTTACATGGGCTAGTTCTGGAGTCTGAAGAAGGCTCTGACGAGTGCTCTGTGTTGGAAGCAGAGATGGGTCCAGGACTGTCTGACAGTTATCAGCTGCCTTTAGAGTCATACATCAGTAAGGCAGAAGAACAGCTAGAACCTGTTCCCAGTGTGCGCATGCACAGAGTTGTCAGACAAAGGGGACAACTGAGGAACAAGGGCCAACTTGGAAGTAAAGTTACAGATGGATGGTGAATTGTCCCTCCCCTAGAGTATAAAAGGGAGCAAAAGATGAGTGGGGTTTTGCAAGAGACAATTACTTCATTCCAGCATGCTTGCCAAGTATTGCAGCATCTGAGAGATATAGGCCAGCCCCTCTCCAAGCCTGATAAAGGTTTGTAATTGGGAATTATTGTGAAAACTGTTGGCTAGGACTTTGTTGGAGAGTGAATTCATTGTAAATTAAATAAAAGAGGTTTATCAGGATGGGACCTCAGCTTCCTGCTGTTAGGGAAGCCTAGGTCAGAACACAGGAGACCTTGCAGGTTTGATACCTTAACCACAACACCAAACTGACTCTCTCTTTCCCCACTCTTCATAGGAGGTTTCAGATAGATAGATAGATAGAAGATAGATAGATAGATAGATAGATAGATAGATAGATAGATAGATAGATAGATAGATAGATAAATTTATTGTCATTGTACTCAGAAACCTGAGAACAACAAAATAAGGAAATAAGGTGCTCTTCCACAACATACAACTGAACAACACCAAAAGACATATACAAATAACAATGTAAAACAAATTAAAACAAATAACAGTTAAAAACTGTACAACCAGGATATATATATGTTAAGACCACCAGATTCATAACTCTGCATTTAACCTAATCATCTGCTTCAGCAGTAAAATAATTCATTGCAGAAAGAGAGATAACTCACCAGAAGCATACTGAATCTTACGCAGATCTGCTGAATGATGCCAGTCTGAACAGATTGACAAGATCCAGCATGTGAAACCCAATACAGATATTATAAAGTCATTCATAGGAGTGCATAGGGAATATAAATAGCCTGGAGTTATTTCGCATTCTTCCTGTGCAGTGATACCTTTGCTAAAGTTCTTTCTGAACAGTTCAACAATTCCTACAATTCTGATTCATTCAATACATTTGCATTGGTGTAATGCTTTCTGGGAGATCACCTTCCCCTTTTGCTTTGTTTGCTAAATGAAAGGATTAAGCTTTACAACAGCTGTTGATCAGATACAAATGTGGCACAAACGTTAATGGAACCATTCCCCCCACTTTAAATTATCTCGAGGAAATACAACATGTGTATCTGACCTAGTTACACAATGCCTTGCTAGCAGCTTCTTCCTTATTATTACAGAGAATATCATCACAATATGGTTGCAAATGTATAGGATAGAGCTATTGAACACTGATTAAGACTTATTCTTTGGTTATAAGTAAAAGAGATATGCAAATGTTTTATCTAAAATGTTGACAATTTTATACCCCAGTTATAAATTAAGGAAGGACAAACTGTATGAAAAAGAGGGATTCGTAGACATTTTTTTTCTGGATATAAAATACGATGAGATTGAAATAAAAAGATAATTACTGATTCAAAAATAGGACAAGGAATCAAAGCTTACATTATTCTTGTAAGTAATAAAACCCCAGAACCGCCCCCTATCACAAAAAAAAACCCATTTCATCATAGGCAAAAGAAGAACAAAAGAAAAACTACAACACATATAAAATGTCCATTGTTCAGGTTATATCTGCTTCAGCAGTAAAATAATTCATTGCATCCTTCAATCCAACACATTAGAACAAAGGTCTCATTCTCGCTGCCCGCGGGCCAATTGTGGCCCGCAGGATGATATCCTGTGGCCCCCACTGTGATATGAAAGTATATTAGTGCGTTCTCCATGCGTCACTAGCTGCCTAAACACTTCTATATGCGGCCCAGCCTCACCCAGACTCTGCCTCCAGCGGCCCCCAGGTAAATTGTGTTTGAGACCCCTGCTTTAGAACATTCACTTAATTCTTTACTATTACGTATAAACCAATAATCAGGTTCCTTTTTTAATACAACAGTTGATATATTTCCACGATGCTTAACTCTATTTTATTTTAAAAGAATCTTTTTACCTATTCATTAGGAGCAAATAGATGTGACCTTTTCAGTAACAGAGAATACTGGCCTGTCTGTTCACCCATATGTGTCATGTTAACAAGAAAAATAGCACCTCCAGTCTTGGTATCAGCACTTGTCAAACTTTCAAGGAGGAATTAATTTGTATAATAAAATATTGTGACACAATTCTATTTTCTGACCAGCCAAGACAAGAAGCTATCAATTTGTAACAAAAAGAGTCACATCATGATAACTACCAGTAGCTGCTTTGACAACATGATTCTCTCATAATGTATTATACTTCAACTTCTCTAAGTTCCTACCCTACTCATTGGCTGGAAATTATGATAAGAAACCAGGATAGAGAATATATCCCACTAGAAGAGAATATCTGCACCTCAAGGTTGAACTATGGAGTCCTTAGTTGCTCTTTGAGCTTGGTTGTTTGCTTGCAGACATCTCATTGCCTGACTAAGTAACACCATGCTCTAATCATTACGATGATGATAATGACAACGCTCTTAGATAGTTGACTGATCATGTCACCTATTTGGGTAATTCAGAGAGGACCAAGGACTTCACAAGATACCCATTGTTGGGCCTGTTGCATAAAGCCACCATGAGTAAACATCAATAACCCCAGTCCAGGGGTGGGATTCCACTGGTATAACAACCGGTTCGATGATTGCATGCTTCATGCATGCACACACACTTCATGCATGGGCCAAACACGCACTCCATGTGTGTGCTCTGCATTTTAAAAAGCTCTAATACTTACCTTCTACTGCAGTCCCTGTGAATAAAACAGCTGAAGCACAGAAAACTGCTCTGCTGAGTGAATCAGCTGTGTTCTTAAAAAAGGAAATAAAGCACAGGAAAGAGCAGGGGCGGGCGGGCCCACATGCTAATCGCAGCGAACCGGTTTGCTGCCAGCTGATTTTTGGATCAAGGGGTTCGCCCAAACCAGTCTGAACCAGTAGAATCCCACCCCTGCCCCAGTCCAAAAAATTATTAATCCCATTTTGTATCATCTATCGCTAAGGCAATTCCTTATGGCATTGATTTCTGTAGTTACTGCTGTGTGAAAAAGTATTTCTTTTTGGTCTTTCCTGAATCCCTTGCCAATTACTTACTATATATGGCATAAACCATTTTTTTATCTGTAAACTTTATAAGGATCTAAACAGCTTAGTAGTGGGACCAGAGGTGGTATTCGGCAGGTTCTGACAAGTTTTGGAGAACCGGTAGCGGAAATTTTGAGTAGTTCGGAGAACTGGCAAATACCACCTCTGACTGGAGATTTTACAGTATCCTTCCCCTGCCACATCCACCAAATCACGCCCACAGAACCAGTAGTAAAAAAAAAAATTGAATCCCACCATAAAAAATATTTAGAAAAAAATGAACACTAGATTTTCAAATGTTTGGCTAAATTGTTTGAGAAATATAATAAGAACTGAATATTATAAAGACTCCATTTGGTGATCTTACATAGATAGAAAAAACCATGTGTCTACAGTGAAAAAAAATGCTAGAGACATCTAAGTCAAAAGGATGAAGGAAGAAATATATGTAGACTTATTACGTGCTATGCACATTGTTATGTTCTGATGTGAACTGGGATAGAAACAAAGGAGTAAAAAATAAAGTATAGGTTTATTCTGGTTTTTAACTTTCAGACTTTAAAAGGAATATGGGATAGACAAACCCATCCCTGTTTTTAGCAATAAAGTATTGCATTTAAAGGTTTGCAAGAGGCTATTAATCATACTTGATTTAAGCAACATGTTAAGTGTTTCCCACTTTTGATCTTTCATTGTTCTCCCTTGCTTCCCAGAACAATGCTTTGACATCAGGAAAAAAGAAAAAATAACAGAGAAAGCCTTTCTAACATGCCAAACTCTAGTTGTAAATAGGCAGCATGACTTAGCAGAGCAAACAGAATAATGAAATCTAATTCTGCATTAAAACTATGATCATAGTCAAAAGTCAGAGAAATTGCAGAGTTGCAGAAACTTGAATTTAATTATAAAATTCTGAAAAAGTATATAGGTTGAGAGCACCTAACTATCATTTTTCAGGATTTGGGATGCTGAACAGCTTTTGATAGGAGATCTGATGTGGTTCTAAATAATATCTGAGTCATCAGTTATATTAATAGTATAATAATGAAGAGATTGCCTCAGGAACTCCCTCTTTCTCCTGTAAGAATAAGCAATGTCAATAAATATATAGAACTTAGGAAGAAGTTAAAAAGAACAGTGTATTTCTGCAGGTGAGCTGATTTTAAGCTGCTGCAAAAACCAAAATAACTCAGTATGGGTTATTGACCCAGTATGGAAAACTGCATCTTGGTGCACATAATAGAAATATTGTGGACCTAACAGACTAATTCTTGAAATTTTCAGAAAGAATAAGTTTTTTTTTATAAAAAGCCATTACCAAAAATCATAACCACCTATACTAGATGTACAAATATCCACTTTTCCTATTCTACACATTGCTGCTCAAGTCTCTATAGTTTTCTTGGCACAGTTTCTCAGAAGTGGTTTGCCATTGCCTCCTTCCTAGGGCTGAAAGAAAGTGACTGGCTCAAATCACTCAACTCGCTTTGTGCCTTAGGAGAGACTAGAAGTCATAGTCTCCCACTTTTTAATCTGTTCTCTAATCCCCTACCCCAAACTGGCTCTTTCTTTGTTGTTAATGGTAACTAATGAAAGGTATATAAATAGCGATTTAACTAAAATTTAACTGATGAGGTGGTTCCAGTATTATTAACATTCCTTTGCCTATTAATTTTGTTTCAGCTGCTTTTATACTTTTTAATTTTTGTTGTTGGTCATGATTTTAGATATTTATTGCTTTGGTCTTGTTGTACACCAGATGTTTGTATGATGGATGGCTAAATAAATCAATAAATATCACAATTGTTAACCGATTGCTGTATTGTACATAATTCTCATTTTATAAATACTGTCAGGGTTCCGACGATTGCCTAATTAAATCATGAGTCTCAAGTCAATGCTTTACGAGTTGACAAATAACACATTTGACAATACAATAACACATTTGTCCAAGAAAGTAGGTAAAAATAAATGTTTCCCCTATCCAGTCGTATCTGACTCTCTCTCTCTCTCTCCTTCTCTCTCTCTCTCTCTCTCTCTGTGTGTGTGTGTGTGTGTGTGTTCATCTCCATTTCCTAGTTGAGGGAGCCAGCATTACGTTTTCATGATCACATGGCAGCATGACATCATGCTGCAGTGCAAAGTATGCAGCAAAAATGGAACATTGCTACTCTCCTGCTGAAGTGGTACCTATTTATCTAGTCACGTTTTCATTCTTTTGATCTGCCAGCTAGATAGCAGCTGGGGAAAGAACAGGAGCTCGCCTGTCGCACAGCACTCAGATCTTGAACCCAGGCTGTTAGCTTTCTAGCTGACAAGCTCAGCTTCATGACTGCTGAGCTCCCCAAACCAAGAAAATATGAATGGGCAAATAGCAAGACAAATCACCTTCTCACCAGTTTTTGTTCCATATGAATGCCAGGTTTGCAGGAAATGGAGGTTTAGTTCTGTTATATCAACAATGGCAGATCCTCTCTTTTTCAATTAAAGATATGACATGCTTGACAAATAAATGATTCATAATTAATTGGAGCAACTTTACCTAAATTCCTTTTTGCATATCCTAAGGATGTGTGCAAATGTATCCTCAAGAGTCATATGAATAGATTCTTTGTAGATATGACATCCTTTGGCAGACTTCTGTGGAAAGTCAATCTGCTTTTTTTAAAAAATAGCAGAGGACAAATGTATTTGTGCAAGAATCAGAAAACTTCTGAATAATTTCCAAAGCATGCCCAGCCCTAATAAACACATTTCAGCCTGCACAGAGTTAAGTGGTACTGATGTCATTTTTAAAAGAATATTTGTTTTAATTTATGCAATTCTAGTGCTTGACATCACCTCAGAAGACATTTCCATTTTCCAAAAAGAGCTTAAGCTCGTGGAATTTATTCAAGGAATATTTAGCACATTCAGGCAGGGTAGACCCTAACCATATTCATACTTACTTGGCAGTAATCGTGTATATAAAGGGACTTACATCTTAGTAAACAAGTTTAAAAGGACAGTCTAAGGCTCTTTCAAAGTCTCCAACTAAGCCTCCCCCCCACCCCAAAAATAAAAATCTGAGTGCTTTATAAAGTTCTCAGAGCAGGCTTTATTTGGAAATACTAGGACCAAAAAAGTTTTTATGGCCTAGTCTTCTATGCAACTTGTTATACAAAGCAGTTAGCTTGTTATCAACTATATTCTTAGAATTTTTGGTTTATTTCTTTCCCTGGCTGAATCATCATCCTGTACTAGAACGTACAATTTGTTCACTATGTTAACAAGTGCACAGGAAAATCCATGCTTAATAAATTATTTAAGAAAAATGAAAGAGAAGGAGAACAGAGAATAAGGTAAGGTAGAAAGAAGGAAGAAAGGAGGAAGGGGCAGCTTACTATGAATCTATAAAATTATGATAGAAGTGCCAAAGTCTACAATAAGGCAGGCAGAGTTTTAAACTTACAAAACTGTGGCCTGTCATTCAAGGAGAGTTATATGGGATAGGACAAAAAAAAAAAAGCTGTAATGTCGTGTATTTTTGTATACACTTCAAATTTACTCACTTGCATAATGCATTTTCATTGCTGATAAACTATGATTCATGATTCTGAGGAACAGAAACACTGAATGGAGTAGCATTTCAGTTTTTGTCTTT